GAAAAGAAGATACCTGATCTTCCAAAACTTATGTTCCTTTTCCAATTGCCCAGGGAGCATATTTGATGCAGGAGCACTATGAAATCACTGCCTTGAGGTTGGTTTCTGCCCCATGCCTCCAACACTGAAAAAAGAAGGGGGTATTTTCAGTGGCAAATTACACTCTTGTTAGAGTTACGTCAACCAAGTGGAGGATATTTTTCACTCAATCTCATGTAGCTGTGAATGGGGAATGGCAGGCGGTTGTCTGACTCTTTAGGTCAATAGACTTTTCATGAAAGAAGAATTCTAAATCAAAGTGTGTCCCCTAGATCAGCTGCAGTCTTTATGAAAAATGCTGACACCTGGGCCCATCAGAGTTATACTGAATTGAATATATGTGGGGTGGGGACTAGAAATCTTCATGTTTAATAAAAAATCAAGGTGATTCCCAAATAAAGATTATTAAACACTGACTTAAAGTCATCTTCAAGGAAAAAAATCTACTTGGTGCCCATAAATGCTTTTGAAAATTGAAAAAAAATCACCTGATACCTCAGGATTTCTTTTTAATAGAAAAAGTGCTAAGGCTTCAAGCCAAGATTTCCATTACAGACCTAAGGAGACCGGAGTACTCCTATGCTGTTAATTAACAACCAAGACCTATGATTCCCCCACCAATGAAAGGCTCTTAAGTAGCTCTGACTTGATCTCCCAGTACTAATAACTTAATTGGAAACATAAAAGACCATGCTAATGGAGTATTATGAAAAAGTCTTATTCAGGCACTGCTCACAAAGTAGAGCTGCTAATTTGCTTGATGTTCCCTTATCTTAACTGTAGTTCTCATTTGGACGTCCACCCAGTTTATGTAGCTATTGACAGATGCTTACAGTATCCACAGAGTCCTTTAACTCAGATCTTTACAAATGTCATAAGAGTTTCTGATGAAGAGAAGATTTTGTACGTGGAGCATATAAATTTGTACTTTATATTACTACATATTAAAGTGGAAGTTTGGCAGAAGCAAAATAATAGAACAGGAATTGCATTCCAAAGGAGGCAGTAGATCATATACAAAATTCAAAACGGAGGTTTCTGAAAACTGTTCACATGTCTTTTACCCACAAACTCACTGGAAGAATTTAAACAGATCAAGACTTACATATTTGAAGAGAATTTGGAGGTGAAGATTTCTTTGGGGAGAACTGTGCGATAAGTCCCACCCGTCACTCCCAGGGGGAAAGGAGACTCTAATAAGTGGTTATCAAGACCACTTTGAGAGCTTTATAAGTGCCACATGCAGTTTGGAGACCCAATGGGCAAGCGTGTGACTCTCTGGTAAAAAATCTAAAAGGTGAGAGAGAAGGTAGCCTGCTGCTTTGACAATGGAGCAAAAGAGTTGGTATTGGCTTATAAATCCAGACTTAGGGTAAAGACTGCATGAATACTTTCCATGGACCAGATGTGGGCAACACACACGGGAGATCTAGTATAAGGTAATCTTAAGTCCCATCCAAGAGAACCACGTGGGAGTTGACTGTAACAGAAAGAATTTGAAAGTATCAAGAAATTTTAAAGGACTGAGAGAGCAGCGAGCAACTGCACTTGGTAGGGTCAAAAGAACTTCTAGCAAGATGTCCCCAAAATTGGGTAGGGGAGGGTTTCTGAAGAACCCTTAAAAGAGAAAAAGTCCACTTTAGTCTCCTAATAGTCCCAGAGAACATGGTACCAGCTAATGATAGTATCAGTCAGTTAAGAACTCTCCTACCTTCGTTCTCCTCCCTTCCTATACCCTGACTACAAAGTGGTCAGAAATACAGTTAGCCAGACCCAGGGAAGGAGATGGAGATGAAAAATGGAAGTGCTAGAGAGGCAACCAACCATATCTTTTCCCAACTGTAGGATTCCAGCCTGCAGCTGGCTCAGGTTAAAAATAGGTAGAAATTTCAAGTTTAAGTTTAGAATTGTGATTACTCCATGGGAATGGACATTTTAATTATTAACTAGAGACTGTGTCTGAACTTAAGGCAACCATGACTAGAAGAACCACAGACCTGACCCCCATTTTCAAGAGAGGCAGGAGAACAGCTAGCCCGATAGAACTGAACCAGCGAAAGACAAAAATAAAATTGTTTTATAATTACATCTCAGGAGTCACTTTAGTTCAATGTAATGATTCCTTTTACTCAATGCTTAACTCATTAAATCCATGTATCTAAAAGCAAAACTTGGAAAATCAATTTTTGTGGAGAATTATTGACTATAAAGTTGATTAATTAAATTCCTTTAAACAATTTAAACTGCAATTAGCAATTTAGTATGACTGATTCTTTTGAATATTTTAAATACCCTAAACAGCAAATAAAATATACACAAACACAATGATTCAATGATTCCATAACTTTCAAGACTTTAAAATAAGACTGGTAGCAAAAAGTGCTAATACAATGAATAAAATTTTGCTTTAATTCTTATTTTTATGTCTTTCCATGGTTCTAATTTTTATATCTTCCTAAGCTTTCTGTAGCATTACCAGAACCAATGTTTACAACTTTCCTAGGGAATTTTTCCAGATCTAAAAGAAAAACAAAGCCAGCTTAGAATACCAGAATCCAGATTGTTGGCTGGTTTATTTACATTTGTGGTATGGCACTTTGTAGTATGGTCCAAGATACAGCAAACTTCTGTCTCTGCAATAGACCAATTGCCTTTTTATATCAAATTTTCACTCATTACATCCTGAGACCCATGTATCCCTGTTTTTAATATAAATTTTAATTGTTGAAGACTTATCTTTGCTGAAGTTTCTGGTAACTACAAGTCTCTATGGCATTGCCTTGACATTATGATACATTGACCTGGTTTGTTTCAATTATTAAAATATGTGTATTTCTTATTAGTATTTATTAAAATTCATAGGAATTTATTCATAATGAGTAGAAGCTTATCTCCTAGGACATGAGAAATTGAATCTCTTTGCTTTTCATCTCAGAACATTTGGATAATTTATAATATGGGGACATCCTATTTTGTAACAGTCACTGTGTATGCCTGTATGCCACAATTGGAATCAAATGCAATACCCTTGTAAGTCATTATTATATAAAACCATTAATTCTGATAAGTCATTTAGAATCTAATATGTCCCCCTTGTCTGGTCTTTTCTATAGTAAGAAAAAGGTCTACCTCATTGTGTAGAAATCCTGGGTCATAGTGGTTAACTCATATATCTTCGTTCCCCCTTCTTTCTTACACAAACAAATATATGTGCTAAACATATGGAAACATGCTAAACAAAGAGAATAAAATGTCATATGTCAACACTCTCCTACTTGTTTAAATCAATAAAGATGTAAAGATCCTATTGGAATCATTCTTTTGTTGTATTACATGTACCTCTTTGCACACTTTGTGTTTTCTCTTTTGAGTATTACTGGGAACTCATGGCTTTTTGCAGGCTGAACTTGTTCCAACTTAACCATTAGCATTATTACTTTTGTTATTATTTGCTGGTTCTTTAACCATTGAAACACCATCCCTGATGTTTCAAGAAGCTGCTTTGATTTCTGGTTAACAACAGGTTGCTTTGGATCCATCTCATTTTGTCTTTGCACCAAACTTAGAGTCAACTACCCTCCAGGGATCAAAATTTGTGCGCTAGGGGTGCACATGCGGGTTAGTAATAAATTAGAATAGTGCAGCTGCAGTTGGGCCATTTGTAATAATAATAGAGCTGGAAAATAAATCTTTCAAGGACATGAATTCACACTGATTTTTCCAATGTAACATATTACCGAACCCCTCTTTCTTTGTAGACTTGCTTTTACGCTTATAATAAATATGTAACAAGTTGGAGGAAATGCATTACCTTCCCAGTTGGTAGCAGAATTCCTCCTCAGGAGAAATCTCTTTTTCTTGGGAAAAATGCTTTAATATTTTAGAAGGTGAGCTCCTTTCTCCCAATTCCCACCATCAAGGCCTAAGAAAAAGCTGCCCCAAAAGATTCAGTGAAGAACTTAGTTATCCGAGGGCTGCCAGGAAGAAGGGATTTGAGTACAGCAGATGAAAAAGGGTGAGGAAAGAGAGGCTTTATGGTGTTACTGCCTCTCATGGTGATCTACCAGATAAACAAACAAAACTCAAAATTCTTGGTGTGCGTGTGTGGCAGTGTGTGCAAAGGCTGTTCATGGAAACCGAAGACAGGGCTGCGCGTCACGTCAAGATTCAGGAGTTGTGGGACAGATGTGGTATCCAAGGGTGCAGAAACACAACGACCTAGAAGGACCTGTAAATACAGTTCCCTGTAAATCTGCCAACAATTTGGAAGACCCCTTGAGACTTCCACAGAGGGAAATCGGTGAGGTTAACACCAATTTCATCCAGAGACTGAGAAGTAGGGAAGTCCCCTGTCTTAAAAATAGGACACAAACAACTTCTCAGAGTAGGGTTGCCAGATTTAGCAAATAAAAACACAGAATGCCCAGTTAAATTTGAATTTCAAATGAATAAAAAATAATTTAGTGTATGTCCTGTGCAATATTTGGGACATATTTATACATCTGGAAACCCAACAAGAGGGATTGAACCCACATCATAGAATGGAATAAAAACTGGAAACAGTTTACCAAATGTGATATATATATCGAAAACTATAGATATACTCAGTGTAATTACGGTATCATCTGTATTCCTCCTCATTATAAATATATAAAACCCTTATTGTGATAAGTAGAAAAGGCTCCTCCACATTCATTTTTGTGTTTATTTCTGTTTTGATCATCTTGATTTTGCATTGTCTCTTCATCCTTTGCTTTCTATGTGCCCCATGCCAATATGTAACTACCATGGTTTTTCAAACCTACTGTTCAAAATTCTCATATCTGTGTGTGATTGCAAAAGCGTCAAGTAGAAGGTCTTTATAAAGTACTTCTTTACCTCCAGTTAATTCTGTTCTCCAATGCGCAAGACATATTATGATCTCAAACACTCAAAGACGCTCACATAAGTTTTGCAAAATTATGGCTGTATTGTCACCCAAAAATGGTCTTCATCTCTCCACATCTCCTCTAGCTCATCAGAGCATTTTCAGCCTCAGTTGACTTGCAACGATGCTTTGAGAAAGGAGGAAAATTATTTTTTGATAGGAACAAAGGAGCATCCTTGTTGAGGAAAATGTCTACACCACTCTGCAGGAATCCTGTGGCGGACTGGGAGACGGGGAGCCCTAACTTCAGTTCTTCAACACTTTTTTCCCTCTTCCATGATTTTATACCAGCTGTGTTCATTCTTCTGCACCCCCAGTGTCCTGCCTTCTCAAGCATTTTTATATCCTGAACTTTTTGCATGCAGTGATGTGAGGGGAATTCTCAGCTTAGTTTGGTCATGTGACAGACCAGAGACACAGAATTAAGTATTCATCAGGGATACATAGTTCAAGTGAAAGATGCATATCTAGGGATCTTCATCAAGAAACTAGTGGGTTATGTAAAACCTTTTCCAAAAAAAATCATTAAAACTGTTTAAAGTTAATAAAACTTTACAAAAGTGATTATATGGGAATGAAATGCATTTGTGAAAACTTTAAAAATGGCATTCACAAAACCCTGCTGAGAGAAGAGCTGACTAAACTACACCCAGCTGTGACAAAAAACTCAAAACGACCCCAAGCCTTCCAAGGGATAAATTAAGAAAGGGGCATAAAGGCAATTTGAGTTTGCTTAGTTTGTCAAAAGATGGGAAGCACTCTTCAAGCCTCACTCTTCTCATCAGTACAGAAAGGAGATTGAACTAAATCAGTGGTGCTCAAGCTGTGCTCTAAGCAGGCCTGTTGTGTCTGTGGCGACACAGAGATGGGAGAGATGGGGCAGGGTGTCACATTCATGAGCAAGAACAGCTGTAATTTTTTTTACATATTGGAATTCACAAAAAATTTCCAGTGAAATAAAGGTGTAGCGTCTGTATTCGTTTCCCAGGGCTGCCATAACAAATTACCACAAACTTAGTGGCTTAAAACAACAGAAAATTATCCTCTCACAGTTATAGAGGCCAGAAGTCCAAAATCAAGGCGTCTGCAAGACTGTGCTCTCTCCGGCGACTCTAGGAGAGATTCTACTTGCTGCCTCTGTTTCTGGTGGCTCTTGGCATTCCTTGGCTTGTGCTATCAGTCCAATCTCTGCGTCAGCCTTCACATGGCCTTCTCCTCTTCACGTGCCTTCTCCTCTTCTTTTCTCTTACAAAAACACTTGTCACTGCATTTAGAGTTCACCCTCAACAAGGATGATCTCATCTGGAGATCTTTAATTTAATTATGTTTGCAATAACGGTTTTTCCAAATAAGATCACATTTGCTTGTTCTGAGTGGATATATCTTTTGGGGGACCACCATTCAACCCACTACAGTATTGAAAAGAATTTAACCTAATTCAATTTTTTTTTTTTTTTTTTTT